GGATGGAACCCAAGAGACCCTTCAATGCTTCAAAGCTTTCAGGGGCATTAACGTCATGGGCCGCGGGTAAAAAAGAAATTGTGGGGGCAGGAAGCCACACTGTGAAAAAGTCTACAACACTTCCCCTAAGGGTGTCTGTTATAACATAGTCAAGCTCCTCCATGAATTTTTCTTTACGCCTTTGATACTGAGCTAAAAGTGTGGTTGTGATAGATATAGCTTCTTCAATAGCTAACCGGTGTAGAAATTTAGGATCTGCCAACAATCTCTCCCTAAAACCCTGCAACGGAACAAGATGATTTTGTCAATTTCGCATACCCATGAGAGCAAATATGATCGGTCCGTAGACATGATGTGAGCGGTGAGCCCCCATTGAAAATATGACCAAAAGGTGTCTTGCAGCGAAATTGGTATTGAAGAGTGTACCACATTGACTAAATATAAAAGAACAAACTCTTTTATAAGTGTTTGAACTATTTTGGATTGAAGTGGTTTTACTGGTTTGAATGTTGAAGAGTAGCTTATGCCATGATACTATAGGAGGCACAGAGCAGTAGAGTACCTGAAAACTATGGGTTAATTCAGAAATGTAAGGATATTTCTCAAGATCAAAAAAGTTCTGCAGCACTTCCGGTGATACCAGTCCAAGATCAAGTCCTTCTTGGAGATCCTGTTCCGCACAAAATACCATTAGTAGACTTCGATTGGCTGATTAAGATAGTTGAATATGGGGATGGACTGAATAACACTTTGAGATAGGTTGGAACTTAATGGCACATTTGGAAGACTTCATTTGGCTTATTAGCCATATTTCACCAAATACTAACTTATTTTACTTCTCAGATCAGCTTAAAATGAAGATGGGAAATAGTGGCGCTGCTAAAATCATTTAATCTAATTCCATATTTTCAATACAACGATAATGTTTTGATTATTCAGCAGATTTACCAACTACTTTAGTGCATCCAAACATTTTGAGCCTTATCATACAGGCTCTGAACATACTTACCTTGGGTAAGGCATCTCTCCTCCTCCCAGCTGCATTCATCACACGTGCAATTTCAGCGCGGTCAAAACAATTTCTACTGCAAGGTCGCGCTGCAGAGTACCACAAAAAATCTGCAACAGGAACTTCTCCTTCTCTCCTTATTTCTTGTCTTTCAGGATCAAGTAAGATGACACTTTGATTCTTTTGTTGCAACTTCCTAAAAACCCTGGCAGGCAGCCCAGTCCCTCTATATCCATAAGCAACATGGGTTGCGCCTGTGACAACCAAAAGCAAACCTGTTGTTCCATCATCTTCTACGGCTTGTAATATGATTTGAGACATATTGTATTCTTCTACAACTCTTGCTTGTGCAGAAAGATATGACTGTGAACCAAACCGCATTGAGTTATTAAGTGACAAATTCATATCCATGGAGGATCTCTGAGATCTTGGAGTAAATCCCGAGATGAAGCCTGAACCAGCAGGAGGTGAGTATTTCTTAGAATCGGATTTGGAAAGTCCACGAATGCCTTCTGCTTGCACTGTCCTTTGAACCTAGACAAAGAATACCATCAAAAGTAATACTGCATTTCTATCATCAGAAGGGCGGGCATAACTTTATACTTATAACAAATTTCATCAATAATTTTGGAAAATAACGATGGCTTTATTAGTTATGCAACTCAAGATTGAAAATGCCCAACTCTTACGTGTTGCAAAATATATTGCACTAAGCAATGTTACAACCATACTCTGTATGATCTTAAGAGATGAATAGACTTTCAATCAAAGAAAATAACTTTGTCTCCAAGGTTAAGAGAAAAATCAATCAGAAAAAAAAAAGGGTAGATACAGGATCAAAGTTATTTGGTCAAATAATATGATTTGAGAAACCTAAATATTTTCTATGTTGGTTCATTCATTTCAGTCATTTTAATACCTGGAGGGGCAAACCACAAGCAATTAGCCTCACACCATTAGCACAGCAGTAAGACAAGATGGGCTCGTACTCCTGCCAACGTTGAGGTGGCCAATGTGACACAAGAGACTTTAAGATTTCTCCACTTATACTGCCATGAAACACAACGTTCAATGTTCAAAATTGATAAACATCACAAATCAAAGGTTTCCACCCATAAAGCCTGTGGCACATTAATTGAGACATTCATATGCTCTTTCTTAGTCTTGGTCAAATCAAAGTACTCCTTTAAGCTTAATCAATTTGTGATTCAATGAGAGAGTGAAGGGAAACAATCAAATGTACCTCTTGGCCATGAACTGGTTGAGTTGCTGCTGTAAATCGCAAGGAAATGCTTCCAAAGCTAAGGAAATAGGCCTCTCAGCCTCTACACATCTCTTCTTCAAGCTCTTCAAAATCTCAAGCTCCAATTCCTTGTCGTCCCGGGTGGGAACTTGCTCGGCTTCTCCTAAATACACAATCCGGGCATTCATTAGCTTTTCCCACACTCTACTCTTGTCCTTCCCCACCGCCAGCGGCTCTCCGATCACCGCAGCGTCGTAAACCCTAGAATTAATCGCCTCTTCTGTCTTCTCCTCCTTCTCCGCTGCCTTATCAACTTGATCCGTCACTGGAATCGGAACCTCCGCCCCGGTCGCGTTACTGTCCGGGGGATTATCGTCGGCTCTCGAGACCGCCGCCCGGAGTACACTGGATCCGAGTACGATCAAAGAGGCGGCGAGCACATCCCGCCTCTTCGTGCCGCTGACTTTTTCGGCGTTTTCGGCCGGAATCTTCCGGCAACGGACGTAGGAGGTGATGCGGCGTGGGAATCTTCGACTTTCTCGCCGGCAACCATTTCCCGGTGGGAAATTGAATCGATGATCAGTGGATGTGAGATTTAGTTGGAGTGATCTGAATGTGAAGCCGCGAAGGATTTGGGACTCCATTTTTCTAGAATTTGGCGGAGAGGAAAACGGAGCTGCACTCCTACATGGTCGCGCCGCCCTGGGGTTTCCCGGCGACCAAAATCTAACTGGAACGGATAATCGTGATTTTCAAGTTGAATTGCTGACGTGTCCGACCGGTACACACACCCATGGCATCCTGGCTCCAAGGCAGACCGGTCAGCCCGGTTCTTTCCAAGTTAGGATATGTTTGGTTGTGGAGAAGAGAGGCAGTGGAGAGAAAATGAAACCTTTCCCCTCTTTGGTTTAAAAGTAATACTCCATTATTATAGAAATAATCTTTTCAGTTAACTATTTAAAACTAATTTAATAATAAGATATATAAATAGAAATTACACATATCTATTATTTACTCCCTTCGTCCCTGAGTGTTTGTTCACTTTTATTTTTTGCACTGGTAGGTTACGTGAAGAAATTAGGTAAAATAGAACATTAAACATATAATTTTTTAATATTTTTAATATATAATTATTAGATATACAATTCTGCTTAGTTTGTTCTAGTGTGTACTGATAAAAATCCGAATGTGTAACTCTCTTAAACTACTCAGTTTCACGAATCTACTTGTCAAGGTTTTCAGTTTTCTGGACAAAGGACGGACCAAGTATATAATAACCTTGATGTTTAACATTTTAAATGCTTTTTATCAATTGGGATAAATTTTTTCTTTCCGTGCATCGCACGGGTGATGCACTAGTAAAAATAATACTCCATTGTTTTATAAATAATCTTTTCGTTTAACTTTTTAGAATTTTTAAAAATAATACTTTGATTATTAATATCTAGTTTTACACATTGATATAAGATACAAAAGTTTAATATTTTCAAAATTACGTTTCATGATGAGACTATTAGTATTATATTTATATCAAAGCATAATATAGTTTTAATATGAATCGATATCAAAATTATGAACTTTGACGTCTGATAAAAAATCAAAATGGAAATAATTTTTAAAACCGAAAAGAATATGTTTTAGTGTAGTTTTGACTTTTGAATATAAACATGGGCAATGGTAGAGACACTCTAACCCCGTTTGGCATCAAAGGTTATCCAGATAATTTTTAGAGTTACCCTTTGTTTGGATTGTTTGGATGGATGGAATTGGGAAGGAAAGAAAATAAGGGAGGAGAAAGCACACTTCCCAAGAAAAAATCACTTGTTTGTTTAGGAGAGAAAAGGGGAAGGGGAGAGAAAAAAGGTGAGAAACATTTTCTCCCCTCATGTGGCGAGAAAACTTGAGGGAGGGAGAGAAAAGTATTAAAATGACAATTTTATCCTTACTTTTTCTTTGTTTCATTAGCATAAATAAGGATAAAAATGTCTTTTTGCTTTATCACCTTTTCTTTCTTTTTATATTTTCACTCCATTTTCCACTCATCCAAACAACAATAATATTCTTTCTATTTTCTCTTCATTTTCTTTCTTCTTTATTTTCTTTCCATCCATTTTCTTTCCACTCATTTTCTCTTTTTATCCAAACAATGGCTTAGGGATACCAAGTGTTAATGTTTTCGAAATTAATCTACATCATTAAAATTTTATCTAAAACATTAAGGTTAATTCAAAACGTTATTCCCAAATAATGCCTCGATCTCAATTAGTGTTTTCCCAAACGCAAGCCTCTCTCTACCAATGAGAACCCTTTTGGTAATTTAAAAAAAATGTGGACAAACATTTCATAGGGAGTATTTGCTCAAAATTACTCCGTAGAACTCAATCGCTCAAGCCTTTCTACTATCAATTCATAATTTCATATACTTGGACATATCCAGAAAACTAGCCGTTAGGCTCTCTGCGCCCCTGACACTTTCCTTGTCCCAAAAACAGCATTGAAAAGAAGACAACGGAAAAATGAAATTCGTGTCCCTCCGTAGGACCCCCCCCCCCGCCCACCCACACCCCGCTCCTCATTCCACACTTACAAAACCTCAAATGTTTGCATAGTTGAAATTCCAAACCTTTCTTCCTTACTGTTCAGTCATCCTCATTCCTCTTGACGGCAATCATCTCTCCAGTTCGCCATGGAAGCCGAAAGGGAGAATCTTGGAAGCTTGTACAGACACCCTTTCCATAATCTGCTCCAATGGAGGAAGAAGATTCAAGCTTCCCATGACCAGCAGAGAATCTCAAAAAGGTCAGGTCTTTATCATTGCACCCATCAATTCTTCTTGATTCTGCTTCTTCTGCATGTTCTTGGAAGTCTTCATCTGGTTTCATCTCAGTCTTGGGATAGTATAATTATAACCCAATCTGATCTCCAAGCCCTCCAAGCTTTCAAGCAAGATTTGGTTGATCCAAAAGGGTTCTTGAGAAGCTGGAATGACTCTGGATATGGAGCCTGTGCTGGGAAATGGGCAGGGATTAAATGTGCCAAAGGTGAAGTCATTGTCATTCAGCTTCCATGGAAAGGGCTTAGTGGTAAAATCACTGATAAAATTGGTCAATTCCAGTCCTTGAGAAAACTCAGTCTCCATGACAATGGCATTGCCGGTTCAATCCCGGCTTCTCTTGGCCTTTTGCCTGCCTTGAGAGGTCTCCAGCTGTTCAATAACAGGTTCAGCGGTTCAATCCCCGGTTCCATTGGTCTCTGCAGACTCCTTCAAACCGTTGATATCAGTGGCAATTCCCTCTCCGGTTCAATTCCGGCCAGCCTCTTTAATTCTTCCACCAAACTGCTCAGTCTTAATCTCGGCAATAATCACTTGTCCGGTCCAATCCCAACCGGGTTCACTCCATTTCCCACCATCGTCTTTCTTGATTTCAAGAACAACAATCTCTCCGGACCCATTCCTGAATCCATATCCAGATTGCGGAAGCTCTCGGTTCTTGATTTTTCCGGCAACAATTTCGCCGGAGAAATCCCAAAATCTCTCGACAACTTAACCAACCTTAATCTCTTCAATGTCTCGTACAACAATCTGTCGGGTCGGGTCCCGACCCGCCTCGCCCACAAATTCAACCCGAGATCCTTTCTTGGAAATCCCCGCCTCTGTGGATATAGCACTTCCTCGCCATGCCTGATTTCAGGAACTCCATCTCCATCGCCGGAAACTCGAAAAGATCATAAGAAATACAGATTAGGCATTAAAGACGTCATCTTGATCGCAGCAGGGGCACTCCTGGTGATTCTGCTCCTCATTTGCTGCATTCTGATATGGCTGTTATTCAAGAAAAGGTCGGAAAAGGAGGAGGGAGCCGGAGACAGTGGCAAAAAGGGAATTCCACCGGCGGTCGGGAAAGGGGAAGCGGCGGAGGCGGCGGCGGCGGAAGGAGGGGGGAAGCTGGTACATTTCGACGGCCCGTTGGGTTTCTCCGCCGACGATCTATTATGCGCCACGGCGGAGGTGATGGGGAAGAGCATTTACGGGACGGCGTACAAGGCGGCGTTGGAGGACGGCAGCGAAGTGGCGGTGAAGAGATTGAGGGAGAAGATAACAAAGAGTCAAAGGGATTTCGAGAGTGAAGTCAACGTTCTTGGGAAGATTAGGCACCCCAACCTCTTGGCCTTGAGGGCTTATTATTTGGGTCCTAAAGGAGAAAAGCTTCTTGTTTTTGACTTCATGCCCAAGGGTAGCCTCACCACTTGTCTTCATGGTAAGTAGATTTTTACTCACAAATATATTCCCTTTTTTCAAAATTATTGTTTTAATTTGATTTTTTATTATTAAATTGTCACACTTTTTAATCATTGAAAGAGTAACTGTGACACCTTTCAAGACGAATTGTCTTACAATAGGAAATACAAACTAGAGTATTTTTTTGAAATATTTGCATGAAATAGCACTAAAATTCAAGTCATTTCCTAAATAACAATTAAATTATTTTATTCTCTAAATGGCACTAAATAATGTCTATAATGCCCAATGATGACGAATATTTACTTGAATAATGACTAAAAGTGCTACATTAGAAAGAAAAACATATGTGATGCTATTTAGGGAAAGTCATTATGTTTTACTGTTATTTGTTATTTAAGTTAATTCCTCTATTTTTTATTCGAACTCACATCAATGAATTAATTTTTCATCTTCGTAGTTATTTTAACGCCTTTGTTGTTGTTGCTGTTATAGCTCGTGGTCCTGACACATCACTAGATTGGGCGATGAGGATGAGAATAGCAAAAGGAATTGCGAGAGGACTCCTCTTCCTCCACACCAATGCAAACATTATCCACGGAAACCTAACGTCGAGCAACGTCCTACTCGATGAGACCATGACCGCGAAAGTCGCAGACTATGGGCTCTCGCGCCTAATGTCTGCCGCAGCAAACGCAAATGTGGTCACGACTGCATCCGCGTTAGGGTACCGTGCTCCCGAGCTTTCAAAAATAAAGAAGGCAAACGCAAAGACCGACGTGTACGCTCTCGGGGTCATCATGTTGGAGCTGTTGACCGGGAAGTCGCCGGTCAACGACGGAGGCGGCATGGAATTGCCTCAATGGGTTGCTTCCATTGTGAAAGAGGAGTGGACAAATGAGGTTTTTGACTTGGAACTTATGAGGGATGCTTCTTCAAGTGTTGGTGATGAGTTGTTGAATGCACTTAAACTTGCCTTGCATTGTGTGGACCCCTCTCCCTCGGCCCGGCCTGGAATCCAACAAGTTCTTCAGCAACTTGAGGAGATTAGAATGGAGACCGGTCCGACCGGGTTGGATGATGATGATGATAACACAAGGCCGAGTAATGATTAGATACTTTTATAATTGATTGTGTGGAATGATTAGAATTGCCTAATTTTGTTGCCCTAGAAGTGTGTTTATTCTTTTTACGGTGTGAGTATTTTGTAAGGTTGTGATGAAATTAAAAGAAAAGTGGAATCCCACCAATTCTACATTCTTCTTGTACGAAACATTAATATTTTTCCATGCCTCAAAGGAACATTAATTAGAAATCAATCCAAATAAGAAAAATAAAGAGAAAAGTACTAAAAAAAGATTTTCATATTTTTTTTCGAAATAAGACCGGGTAATGTGGCACTGTACACTTGTACATTGCATATACTTTTTGTAATGTACACGACCAGGTAATGTAAATACATTTTAAGTCCTATTTCGAAAATAAAAATATAGAAGTCTTATTTTGATTTATTTTTAATGTTTTAGTCCTACTTTAATTTTTCTTCCAACATTAATAAATTTAACCCAAACATTCATAAAGGTATCAAAGTCAAATCAAAGGTCTTCTGGGAGAACACAAACGAGAAGTGTTTTATCGTATACTCATTTTGTAGAACTTTTGACGTAGTTTTTAAATATGTAATTTTTATTTATTATTGATATATCGATTTGTAAATAAAATAATTTCAAAAAGTGAGTAATTTTTTCTCGTAAACCCCAATTTGGTTAAATTGAGGACGGAGAGAGTACTCCGTAGCGGGTATTGTTCCTTATTTAGAACTTGCCTTCGGTCTTCATCACAAAAGAAGTGGAAGATCACCTAGCCTCTCTTTTAGAGACTTAGAGTGTATCCCACACGAAAAGTTCAAAACTAAAATAATCGTAATATAAGCTCTTGAGTTAAATCAAGTAATCGATTGGATTCAATCTTTTAATTGGTTTAGCTCAAGTGTTTTATTGGCCAATCTCATTAACCTTATCCCATTCTAATTAAATTCTATCATGATATTGGAGCAAGTTTTGGTCATCTCGTTTGTCAATGCATCTGTCTAGACATTCATTCCTAGCGGCTCGTTAGTCTTTAGTCCAGTTAATTGTATGGAATATGCACCCAGCGGCATGTGGCTTGTGTAACACGATTGCTCGCCTAAAAGTTCATACACAACGGTTTGTGATCCTTATGTGCTTGCGCTAAAAAATCAAAAGGATGGGAGAAGGTTGTTGTAGCAGAAGAGCTGAAGAAGATTACTCGATGTACAAGCAATCATGCTGAATGGCAGTTGATGATTATCAATCCTCTAAGTGGGAGAATGTTGGGTTTTGTGGAGGCTGGACACGTTTGGGTCCGACTCTGGTCGGCATGTCTTATTTTTTTAGCATGTTTGTTTCTTGTTTCTTACGGAACAAGTTTCGTAACCCTAGGTGTCTTCCTATATATACACACCTTGTATTTGTACACGATAAGTGAATAAAATCCTCATGTTGCAGCCGTGGAGTAGGGAACCGAATCACGTTAAATTCTTGCGTGTCGTTCGTATTTCGTTTCTCTCGTTTCTCGCAAATTATTTGTGTGTGTTTTGTGTTCAATTCCCCAACAAAAAACGGAAGGAACAAAAGAGCAAAAGAAAAAAAAGAAGAAGAAATCAGTCGGGAAAAACAGGGAAGGGAACTCGCTCTTTTTGTTCCCGCATGGGGGGGACTGTGCTACCCTCCTCCCACAGCCCCACTTGGCCTTCCCGATCCCTTTCTCGTGGCATACCGTAGGTGTAATAATTTAAAACTGGTGAAGTGCTGTCTGCTGGTGGGCGTTGCGCAACTGGAAAAGGCAATGAGCGTTAATGGAATAAAACCAAGTTCGATTTTTAGCAATTGTGATGAAGGGCGACTATGTTAAGCATGAAGGCTCTGCATGTATCAGATGCAGACTCTACTTTTTCTTTGACAAATCTACGATCAAAGTTCAATTTAGTTTCTCTCAATGATTGTTCAACGGAGTGTGAGGGACCCTAAGACTCAAAATTGAGACTTGCCTTTTTTTTTTGAAAAAATGGAAAATGCTAGGGGTACACCAAAAGTGTACCCCAAACATCCCCCACCCCCTCCATCACCACACAAAAAAGGCAAGAAAATTCAAAAAAAAATAAAAATAAAAATAAAATAAAATGAATGATAAAGAAGGGAGATGGTGTATATTTGGGGTGTACCCCTAGCATATCCCAAAAAAAATGGTAGAAGAAATAAATGGGGAACCATCATTTTTAGTGTTTTTTTTACCCGCCAACATAGTCCTCACCCAGTCACATTCAGGATGCTAGTTTAGCCAAAAATTGGCAAACATTTTGAACCCATAAATATGGTCCTATAAATTAAAAACATACTAATAGAAAAATACTTTTATGGAATAGGAAAAATTAAGTCATGAAAGAAATTTGTTATGCATTGATCCAAAAAATATTATAAATATACATTTAACCAAATACTAAAAAGACCTTACTTTGTATTCTTTTAGTCCTGATAGATTCAAAAAAAGAACTTTTTTTGGTTTGAGATGAATGAAGTAGATTTTAAAATTTTTATTTCATTTTTATTTAAAAAACAAACACTTTTAAAAAGAAAAGAAAAAAAATAAGGAAAAAGGGGAGGAGGTTCTGCCAATTTTTAAATCATAGGAGCAGCAGAGCTATTTATTTAATATTTTCAAGGATATTTTAGTCCAAAAGGATATTGATGTAAGAATATTAAAACCACGTAAAACAACGTTGTAAGTTTTAAAATTATAAAGCGTAATGGTAGACATTTGATAAAGTATGAGAATATTGGTGCAATAAACCCATTCACCAATGTTTAACTAAATAAAATTTGAAAAAAATTAAAATTACACTTAATTTTACATAATGTAACAAATTTTCTAGGATAGAAAAAAGAGTATAAATTGATAATACTATCACACAGAAAGAAATAAGCCCTAGTAGGATGGAGCTACGACCTACGAGCCTAAATTGAAAATCCAGAGATGGGGAAAAGAGCAGAGGAGTCAGAAAACATAAAAAAAGGAGTAATAATAAACGATTTGTTATAAAATGAGAGAAACACTACTCAGAGATTAAGATAATAGATATAATATATTTCTGATTTCTTCTCTCTATTAACTCTTCACTCTTCTCTTATTCTTAATTGTGATTACAATGCAGGGATTAAGCCTCTATTTATAGTGGAGAGGCTTGGTATGAATACAAATACAAGTGGGAAGTACTGTACATAATTGATACTCATCAATGGTTGTCTTAATCTACTATTCTAGAAAATAGGCCTGATTAATTGAATAAATGAACAATCATTATTTTCATAACACTCCCCCTTGAATGTTCATTTTTCAATTAATGATGGGTACTTCGTGAAATGGGTATAGTTTAGGAACCCATTCTAATTTTATGTACTGCCTCGTTAAAAACCTTGTCAGAAAAAACCCAGTGGGATAAAAACCTGATCAAGGGAAAAAGAGTACAGTTCATAAAATTCTCCCCCTCAGCTTAGCATAATTGACGGAGGCGACGCATGCCAATCTTGTGTACGAGTTCTTCAAATTTCTTTGGGGGCAATGCTTTTGTAAATAAATCAGCAAGGTTCTCACTGGACTTGATTTGCTTGATGTCAACCTTTCCATCTTTCTCGAGATCATGTGTTGAGAAGAACTTTGGTGATATATGCTTTGTTCGGTCTCCTTTGATGTAACCTCCTTTCACTTGAGCAATGCATGCAGTATTGTCTTCATATATAGGAGTCGGATGACTAGTAATTGTTTCTATACCACACCCGCTCTGGATATGTTGAATCATTGATCGCAACCATACACATTCTCTACCTGTTTCGTAGAGAGCTATCAACTCCGCGTGATTTGATGATGTGGCAGTCAAAGTTTGCTTCATCGATCTCCATGATATTGCGGTATCTCCATAAGTAAACACATATCCTGTTTGAGATTTTGCTTTTTGCG